AGTTAATTATAAAAACTGTGTAAGTGTTGAAGTGAAGTGTGCGTCTACTGTACAAGTAAAAAACATCAGTATAATACCTATAGTTTTAATAATATTTGAACATTTCGAGTCTTGAACTTGAGTAAAATATATTTCTACCCACATTTTAATATTCAGAATTATTAAAATAAAAAATACTCAATTCTTTTTTAATTCACAATGAATACTTGCGGAAACTGCAAAAAAGTAACAACTAACGCAGAGAACTTAAAGTGTGGTGTTTGTTTTCAAGTATATCACCACACATGCACCGCTTTGACTACTACAAATTTTAAAAAGATGTCAAGAGACGCCAAGGCTTTATGGAAATGCTCTGCCTGTAAAAAAATTGCTCCAAAGAGATCGGGTGGTAAAAGTGACTCCCCCTGTCAGGACTCACAGGGAGGAGCCTCAAGTGCGGAGGATTCTAGTGCCTTGTCAACGACGCCCACGACAAGCCCAGCCGGGAACAGCCGAGATGACTTTCGAGCAGCATTAAGAGAGGAATTACCCTCGATCCTGCGAGAAATAATAGCGGCTGAAATGGCTCCTCTCCGAGATGAAATTAGTGCTTTAAAGATATCAGTTCAATTTGCTAATACAAAATACGACGAAATGAAACTTCTTTTAGACAAGCGCGACTCAGAGGTGAAAGAATTGTTAACAGCCACCTCATCACTTGAAAAGCAGTTGCATGACATGACAATTAGGATGGTTAATCTAGAGCAATATTCTCGGGAGTCAAATATTGAAATACATGGCCTACCGGAATTCAAAAACGAGGACTTGCCAAGAACTATTTTAAAAATAAGCGAAGTTGTCTCTGCAAACATAGAGGATTGTGATATACTTTCGTGTTTCAGAGTTGCAAAACTGAACCGCGCAACGAATAAACCAAGATCGGTAATTGTCAAGCTTCGTAGTACTAGATGTCGTGACGTCATTCTGACTGCCATTACTAAATACAATAAAGGCAATCCTAAAGAGAAGCTTGACTCTCACGCTATCGGTATCGGCGGCGAGTCAGCGCGCGTTTATGTGTCTGAGCATCTCAGTCCCGAAAAGAAAAGTCTACATGCTGCCACAAGAATAAAATGCAAGGAAGTGGGATATAAATACGTTTGGATTAGGAACGGTCAGATTCTCATCCGAAAAAGTGACCAGGAAAAAGCTATTCGTATTTCATCGCAGGGACAGTTAAACGGCTTACGTTTATGAAACCGTAATTACGTTCACATCAGTCATCATGGGCTCGTCATTTTACATTTACTACCAAAATGTCCGTGGACTTAGGACTAAAACCAACGAATTTTACATCAGTGTCTGCAATCATAACTATGACGTTATTATACTTACTGAGACCTGGTTGACACCGGACATAGCAAATGGAGAGCTTTTTGATACTAGATATACTGTTTATCGTAAGGATCGTAACTCTTTTTTTAAATCTAGAGGCGGCGGAGTGTTAATTGCGATAAAAAAAGAATTTGAAAGCAAATCCTTCAATAACTCTTGTGATAGTAATGAGGACCTTTGGATATCACTTAATCTTAAAACAAAAAGGCGTCCCTTAAAATTAGGTATTGCTGCAGTATATTTCGCCCCTCCATTAAAAATAAATGAAGTCAGCAACTTTTTTAATTATGCGAATGATTTCATAGACTCTATTGACAATGTTTTGATCGTTGGAGACTTTAATATGAGCTTTATATCATGGTCTCCCAGTGATGCCATACCAAATGCACAAATTCCTTCCAACTATCGTAACAATTTAGGTTGCAGTTTAGTAGATTTCATGTCTTTAAATTCTTTATATCAGTACAATAATGTGATGAATAGTATGGACAAAATATTAGATCTAGCTCTAGCTAATCTACCTATTACAGTAAAAAAATCAGCAGACAACTTAAGCAAAATTGATATGTTTCACCCACCGTTAGAAGTATGTATACAAAACTATTCACCGCAAATGTTAAAGAAATTTTCTACAACTAGATTAAATTTCTATAAGGCTAATTATTCCCAAATTGAAGAATACTTAAGAAATGTCGACTGGTCCGAAAAATTTTATAAATCTAATAAGGTGAATGTAAATGAAATGGTCGCAATACTTTATGATGAACTTAATGCAGTAATAACTAAACACGTCCCATTAAAGAAATGTTATAACTCGAAATATCCCCCTTGGTTTGACAAAAAATTAATTCGATTACTTAAAGAAAAGGATAGACTTCGCATTAGATTCAGCAAGTTTGGAAACCCACGTGATGAATATGAATTCAAGCTAATTCGAGCTAGGTGTGACAAATTAGCACGTACTAATTATAATGATTATATTAATAAAGTCGAAAATAACCTAAATCATAATGCAAAATATTTTTGGAAGTTCATTAAAAATAAGCGAGCAAGTACTAAAGGATTTC